AACATTCTGGTACAATATTAAATGTAATTTTTTTAATTGAAATGGCTAATGATGGAAATACCAGTCCAAAAGTAAGCAATTCGTTTTATTCCTACTAGCAGGATTTTCCATTCTAATACCTCACCTTGACAACATTCCATTATAAGAGTATGCCAACATCTTTGGAGCAAACTGTATGACCAAGCTGTGGAATCCCTCTAAACTGTAGGTTTGGTACAGCGGCGACAGTTTTCTTACATCATTACACAGGTGTGTATTTGTAATTATATCTACTAATTTTTCACATGCCTTTGTACCTAGTGAGTGAAATAAATCGACCGTCACATATGATATATGATGATGAGAACATTAATTTTGTAATTTGTCGATCCACTACTCTGTTTTAACTGTTGTGATGGGTCATTTACTTTTAATTTGTAATAAAATAATTTTTTACTTGGTTTCAACCATTCTTTTTGTCTGTCTCTTCCATGCAATGGTCCATGCCTACATTTTGGAAACAGCTCACCATGACCTGAATGTTTATTCTGGACATGGTTTGCTATAGATTTCCATTTGGCTGCTATCATCTCCCCGTCTCCACTCGGAGTTGACAAGGAGCACCAATACATATGATTTACCAAACTCCTTCTCCATAAACCAACATCTTCACATCCTTTCAGTTTAGACAGGGCATTGACCTTTTTCTTCAAACCTGATAAAAAATATTATTGTGTCATGTAGTTTTGATATTTATTGTTTTTGGAGGAGGGTATGGCAAAGGGAATATACTGTGTTGGTCCAACTATTTTAACAAATTACAACAACATTGTTTTTAGTAAAATAATCTAACTATTAAAAATAGCTAGACGTTTCGAGCAATGGCTCTTTATCGATAGCATAGAAGGAAATGTGAAACATTTCACATTTTTCAAAATGTTTCACATTTTCACACAGTTTCTAATGGTTTACCACTTGGAGCATATCAATAATTATATTTTATTACCTTTGGCCACATGCCATACATCATATTGATGCACTGCCTCAGGTATCTCCTCTCTTATGTATTTTCCAATCTGCCTGTGCCTGTCTGTTATCACCACACCTATGTCAGCGTGTTCTTTGAGAAATGCAACACTCCTTTTCAGTCCCTCCATCTCCATGTGGTAACTTCCACCTACTTCATTAGACTTGGTATGCAAAAAAACATAGAATTAAAATGTACTT